GCATGGTGTGCACTGCTGCGAGCTCCATCCTCACGGGCCAGCTCTCACCCAGGCTGCAGACCGGATGCAAGTCAGCACCCCTGGCTTCCACGGCCAGCACATCCAGCATGGACACAGCCCAAGCAACATCCGCCACCAGGTCCCGGTGTCCCCCACAGACAGCGCCCCCTGAGTGAGGCTTCACCCCTGACCCCTCTCCTCTCAGCCACAGGCAGGCAGGCTGCACGTCCTCTCTCTCAGCTCTACCTTTAAAACACATCTGGATCTGAGTGCTTGGCACCACCTTGTCTCCATCACCCTCGTTCAAACTGCATCAACTCCCATCGGGCTCTGCACCAGACCCCCAAAGGGCCAAGTGCTGTCCATTCTCACACACAACAAGAGGCATCCCGTTAAAGTGGTGGTCCCATCAGGTCTCTCCTGGGCCCACAGCTTTCTGGCGGCCCCACTGCCAAGAAAAACACCAAAACTCCTGGCCACAGCTAGCAGGGTCTGCCCTCCGAGCTGCCTTCTCACCACACTGACCCTGGCTCTCCCTCTAACACCCTGCCGCGTTCCTGCTTCTGCTCTCTCCCGTCTGCAAAGCACTGCCTTGGATGCCCCACGGCTCACTGCTCTGCCTCCTTCTGTTCATGCTGCATGTCCTCGGGCCTTCCCTGACAGCCCCTGACACTCTATCCCCTTGCACTTTATTCTTCTTAGCACACACTGCCCGGCATCATATTACACACATGTCATGGTCTGCCCCTCCCCCCACTGTTCTGCCCACCACCTCATGCCCTATCCTGGTACATGCAATAGTCCTAAGTCAGAAAGAAAGAGCCAACAAATGAGGCGGCGGCAGCTAGGAGAAGGCCACAACCCATCCCTTGTTTCCCCCTCGATCTTAACAACACTGATGAGGCACTGGATAAGGTGTATATATGGCTCTTCTTGGCCTCTCCCCCACATCATTTCTTCCAGCTCTACTGAACATGTGGGTTCCTCAAATGGAGCTCTCTGTCTCAGTACAGATCTTCTAGCTTCTTGGGCTGGAAACCCTTTCCCCACCTCAGCTGGCTTGTTTTCCAAGTCCTTCAAGTCTCAGCTTGGCTATCACTGGCTCTGGGAGGCCTCCCCTGACCCACTGAACTAGGTCGGGGGCCTTCTCAGCTCCAAATGACCGAGACCTTCCCTACCAGAGTACGTGTCACACTGCGACTGCCTCCCCCACCAGACTGTGAGCTCTCTGACAGCAGAACCCTGGGGCCTAACAAGCACTAAGGGCTTAACTAACACCGTTTGAATCAAACAATGAATGAACAACTGAATTAATAAAAACCAAGTCTTGCTGAAGATGGAGGAGGGGGTGGACCGAGGACCAGCACTCCACTCCCCATCCCTGGCATCCTCCCACAGACAGCCTGATTCAGCCATGATGAAGAGCACGTAATCAATAATAACCCAGGGCCTAGGGTGTGTCAGCCAGTCAGAGCTCTCCATCCTACCCTTGCCATAAGGCCCCAGCGCATACAGGAGTGGGAGAAGAGTAGAGTAGCCTCCAGGCCCTGGTGGGAAGAGGTCACATTACCCCGAGTTCTGGCGCTTACAGTGCCCATTACCACTTCCTAACTCTGAGCCCAGGTCACACTTGTTGGCCACAGTTCCCAGGATGGCACCCAAAGGGAGGGCAGAGGAAGGCTCCTTCTAGATCTGCAGACAATAGTCAATGACAAGTTGGGTGCTGTAACCAGAACCCACGGCCAAGCAGCCAGGGCCCAGTCACAGTGCTGCCTCTGTTCTGGAGGGTCTGCGTCAGAAACCAGTAAGACAAGAGTGCAGACCAAACTTCACCTTCCCGCGGTCTAGTCTGTGTGGATGTGGAGTGGAGAACAGGGTGGTAGCAATCAAATCATCCGGCCTGTGGACTCAGCAATGTGGCCATGGTATGGCTGGCCTCACCACAGCCCCCAGATGCCCCTTCTTGAGTCCCAGGGACCTCCACACTGCCGAAGAGCTCATGGCCTAAAGTTTCCTTTCAGCTTTATAGTTATGCTATTTTGTGCAGGACATGAAGGATGAAGAGATACGGGGGTCCTTAATTAAGCCCCTAATATTGTTATTCCTTCCATGGGTACCCCTTCCCATATCTCAGATCAGACCCAGGAGGTTACAGAGGACTCAAGGGCTCTGGGGAGCCCCAGCTGCTACCAGCCCAGGTCAGCCCAAGGGCCCCCTCCACAGCTAGCACACTCTTGTCAGCCCTCGCTCAAAGGCGTACCTGCTCACACCACCTCAGTGCTCACTTCTGCCAGGATGAGATCCATACCAGACTTTTCCCCAACCCTGAACCCTCCTCATTCCCAGCATGGGCTGGGACAGCCCCATCCTCCCTCTCCCCTTCTCCCCCTCCCCTATCTCAAATCCATCCACAGTCTGCTGACACTATATTTAAAGGAATCCTCGACCTTGGCCTTAGCCAGCCCCTAGCACCACCTTCCTGAACCCTGCCCTGCTCCATCCAGCCTGGTCCTTCCACGAATGCCTGTCAAATTCAACACTATCACCTTCTGAGCCATATATTCAAGCCTTCCACAGTGAAACCAAATCCTAGCTCTGCCATTCCCAAGCTCTGTGACCTCAGGCAGACCATTTAGCCTCTCTGAGAGGGGATCTCCTCATCTGTAAGATGTATTTTGAAGGCGATTTAGAGGTTTTAAAGGCAGTAAGGCAGAAAGTACCCAATACATGGTAGACTTTGTGTCTGATCCCCACTATGCCCGAGCCATGAGGCTTCCTTTCCTGGCAAAACAGGCTCCTGTCACTCTCCTGCCCCCGTGGGAGGGTTGTGTGCAGGCGAGAGCTCTCTCCCAAGTTTCCTGTGTGTTGTAGCATGAGAGCAGGACAGGGTGTGAGGCTAAGCAATGGGACTGCAGAGAAGGAAGCTACCCACTATTCCATGTTTCTCAGGGCCTCAGTTTCCCCTCAGCTCAGTGAAGCTGCAATTTTTATAGGCAAGGCCAGGATGGGGAGGTGTCTTCATGGAGGCCAGAAGGGGCTGCCTGAGCAGCAGGAGAGAGCCTGTGATGCATTGGGAAAGGCTGAAAAACAAACGCACCAGAATCCAAATCAGGAAAGCCCAGGGCTGAGGTTGCCGTGGCAACCTGCAGCAGGCTCCCAGCCTGGCACTCAGCCTCTGTGAGGTGGGGGCCGGGACTTGCCAGGCTCGGCTGCCCCCACCTCCGAGGCCTCCTCCGCAGAGTACCTTGGCTGACACGGAGGAGGGGCTAGGGCACAGAGCCACACCTCTGCCCTATCAGGTGGGCCACACTTCTAGCTTTAGCGACATCACTCCTCTCCGAGAGTAAGGCCTACACACCCAAGGGCTTCCTGATGGCCACAAGCCACCTCGAGTCCTTCCACCACCCAGATCCCAGCACCGATTGCTCCGGCCTAGCCCACAAGATGCCTGGGCTGACACACACTCCAGCTTCCACCACTCCCAGTGGCCTCAAAGGCAGTACCTGGGAACAGGGTACAGGGTCTGTGAGATGATCTCCAGACCTTCCCTCAGAGCTGTGTGAGGGAAAGAACGACCTTGGATGCCAGATGCTGGTGAATGCTTTATGCATGTTATCTCTCACTTAATGGCACTCCCCTGTGACAGTTGAGGAAACAGGCTCAGGGTAAGGTAAATGACTTCCCAAGGTCACAGAGCTATGGGTTGTTAAAGAGCTAGGTCCCAGGCAGGGTTTTCTAACTCCTGAGACCAGACCCTTCCTATGGGGTCTATTACTGGATGCTGTGGGCTAACCCTCAGCCTGTCATCAGGGGTCCCTGAGGGGGCTGTCACCCAGCAACTTGCCTAACTGCCCTAGGGAGCTCCCAGACAAAGCCCCCCAACGCACAGGACTGTGTCGTCTAACATCCCCAAAAGCAAGGGAATCAAGAGCAAAAATAAACTGTTGGGACCTCATAAAGATTAAAAGCTTCTGCACAGCCAAGGAAACAACCCAGAAAATTAATAGGCAACCAACGGAATGGGAAAAGATAGTTGCAAATGACATATCAGATAAAGGGTTAATATCCAGAATCTATAAGGAACTCACCAAACTACACGCCCGAAAAACAAACAACCCAGTAAAGAAATGGGCAGAAGACATGAACAGACACTTCTCCAAAGAGGACATCCAGATGGCCAACAGACACATGAAACGATGCTCAGCATCCCTCCTCATCAGGGAAATACAAATCAAAACCACACTGAGATACCACCTCACGCCAGTCAGAGTGGCTAAAATGAGCAAATCAGAGAACTCTAGATGCTGGCGAGGATGTGGAGAAACGGGCACCCTCCTACACTGTTGGTGGGAATGTAAACTGGTACAGCCCCTCTGGAAAACAGTGTGGAGGTTCCTCAGGAAACTAACAATAGAACTCCCTTATGACCCAACAATAGCACTGCTAGGAATTTACCCAAGGGATACAGAAATGCTGAGGCATAGGAGCACATGTACCCCAATGTTCATAGCAGCACTCTCCACAATAGCTAAAACATGGAAAGAGCCTAAGTGTCCATCAACAGAAGAATGGATCAAGAAGATGTGGTTTATCTATACCATGGAATACTACATGGCAATGAGAAACAATGAAATCTGGCCATGTGTAGCAACATGGATGGACCTTGAGGGTGTTATGCTGAGCGAAATAAGTCAGGCAGAGAAGGACAAATAACATATGTTTGCACGTATAGGAGGATTAGGAGGAACTTGACGGAGGACCAAGGGGGAGAAGAAGGGCGGAAATGGTGGGGGAAAGGGAGAGAGGCAAACCATGAGAGACTCTTGAATGCTGACAAAAACTGAGGACTGATGGATGTGGGGGGGAGGGGGGATGGGCATGGAGGAGGGCACTTTGGGGATGAGCACTGAGTGTTATGTAGAAACTAATTTGACAATAAACTTTTTTAAAAAAAAAAAAAAGGACTGTGTCGTCTAGAGAGACACAAAACAGACAATGGACCTCATGCCTCCATTTAATGGCCAAGCCAGCACTGCCCAGATGATCCCCAGGCCCCAAGTAGGGAAGTCCTCCCTCCTGCCTGGTATCCCTGAAGAGCCCACCCAAGCTGGTGCCCATGAGCCTCACCAGCGCCCCAGTCCAGTCCAGGTGTTAGGGAGGAATCTCATCTCAGCTCCTTCAGCAAGCTGTTGATAGAGCCCAGCAGTTCCCGAAAGTATCCCTCATCCTCGCCATCTTGAAGCTCCAGGGTGGCCAGGGCCTGGTACTCAGCCTGAAGGCTGACCAGTGTCCTGCTGAGCTGGGGGTCCTGACGATAGCGGTCCCGGCAGGTGGCCAGGAGGGCGCCCAGAGTTTGTAGCACCTTTTCACGGGCATCATGTTCAGGGAGGGCCAGGAGGTGGGCAGTGATCTCGCACCAGCCCTGCTCCCGCAGGCCCGGCAGGAGGTGCACCTGGCGATACTGCTGCAGCTTCTCTGGGGACGTCTCCCGGGTCAGCTCGGCCTCCTCCTCTGCAAACATCTGCCATCCGCGTGGCCACACACCAGGGACAGGGTTGGGGAGAGAACACACAGACAGCAGTCAGCTCTGCCCTTCAGACAGGAAGGCATGTGGCTGACCATGAGTCCACCCCATCTGCCTCCATCCTTTTGTGCCTCCAAAGCCCAACATGGGAGAAGATCAGCTGGATTCATGATGTCACACGAGCTCCCCCACCCATCTATCCCTATGGCCATCTGTCTGTCCATCATCCATCCATTCATCAAAAACAACTGTGCAACGTGCAGAGAAACTAAGATAGAGACAGCATCCTAGCCCTCAAGGGCTAGGGCCCTCAGTGTCTAGCAGAAGAATAAAAATTAACTGAGTATTTCCTAAACAGCATGCTAAATTTAGTTCAGCAGTACAGTGTGGAGGCAGACAGTCTGGGTTCAAATTCCTGCTCCACCACGGACAGCCAAATGGCCTTAGGCTGGTGCTGCATCATCTCTTATGTGGAGATGACATGACCCCCCTCAGGACTGTTGGGGGCAACTCACGGGGGTAGTGAACACACATGCAGCCAGTGAGCAGCACACAGCACACCCAGCAATGTGAGCTGTGATATCAAGTAGAACCACACCATCTACACCTGAAGCAGTGTACATACGGTGGTATGTACAGTGCCGTCCTCACCACCACTAGATCCACTCCCTCAAAGAAGTTAGGACACAGGGCACAGACGATGGCATTTTCCCGAGTCATGAGGCTAAGTGGGAGCTGTCCACATGGATGAGATGGAGGGTCCACACACAGGAAAGTCATAACAACAGGCCTGCTTCAAGAATGGCAGGTTGTTCTGGTCCATGGGGGGTGAGGGTCAGGCTGAGGCCCAGAACACACAATCTCTGGCTGTCCCTCCAAAGAACATGGCCTTTATGCCAAGGGCCTGGGGAGTTGAGAAAAATTTGGGCAGAAAGTCACATGCTTGGCCAAGGGCTGTAAAGTACAGAAACCCAGGCCCACTAGCAGAAAGTGGTGTGAACCAACCTCGCCAAGATGCCAGAGTCTGGAAACCCCTGAAACCTGTGTTTCTAGCTTATTTCAAATGTCAGAGGAAGGCTATGCAGAGGTGGAGGGTCGGCAGGGGGCAGATGTCCCTTCCTGGCTGTACTAAAAGTCCCTGCAAGAAGAAAGAATGAATGTCTGCTCTAAGTCCAGGTGAGAATGAGGCATGCAGGCGACAGAGAAGGCAAGAGGAAAGCCCAGGAGAGACCAGGGGCCACAGCGCACCACCAGATGGGCTTGGGTCCACGGTAGCTGGTGGAGGAAGCAGGGAGGGGCAGGGATCAACTTCTTATAACAGAAAAGGATGAGAGGACTTGGTAGTCCTTTCCTAACTGACCCCACCCTCTCGAACATCCCAGTCCTCCCAGCCCTCTGCCTCCGCCCCATGTGCCTTGCTTCTCACTGCAGTTCATCAGTCCAGTGCCTCCTGCTCCCAACCTACTACCCCCAGCCCTCTGATGGCAGACTGCTGCCCAGCCCCAAACCCTTCACCATTGAGCATTTCTGATGATAAAGACTAAATCCCTTCCCTAGGACTACAATGACTTGCAGGGTCCACCCCAACCTACACTTGGCCTTGTCGCCACATCCGCCCTTTTTCATGTACCTGTCACACTAAATGTACCCCAGAGCCTTTAAGGTGCAGCTTGGAGATGCACTCCCACCCAACCCAAACTCCAGAACTCATTCCTCAGGTCTCAGTGCCTCCCCTGACTCCCCAGATCAGAGCACCCCACTTGTAAGCCTCTGCAGCCCACAGGCTCCAGGTAATACTCTGACAAAAGCCTGTCCAAAAGCACCAAGAGAGACGAGACCATGGACCTGGGAGAACACTGGGCAGAGCAGACATCCAGTCACCACCCATGGCAGGAAGCGGTGAGTGGGTCATCGCTGTGTCCCCTCAGTTCCACGGAGGCATGGAATGGACGTGGATTCACAGCCACTGGCCAGCATCTCACTCTGCAGAAGTAGTAATCTAAAAGGCGGTTCACTCTCCATGGGAAATCTGCATTTCAGCTTCTACTTTGCCACAATACCACCCTCAAGGTGTGGGGCACCTCAAATAACAACCTGACATGCCTCCACCTCAGACAGCTCTGGATGGAGCTCCAGTCTGATTAGTTCTTCATTCATTCATTCTTTTTTTAAAAATTTTTTAAATGTTTTATTTATTTCTGAGAGAGAGGGAGAGAGACAGCGTAAGCAGGGGAGGGTCAGAGACAGGAGTACAGAATCTGAAGCAGGCTCCAGGCTCTAAGCTAGCTGTCAGCAGAGCCCGATGTGGGGCTCCAACCCACGAACCATGAGATCATGACCTGAGCCGAAGTCAGACGCTTAACCGACTGAGCCACCCAGGCGCTCCTCTTCATTCTTTCTAAGGAACCACAAGAACAGATAAGCCCCCACTGCCTCAAGCATAGTGTGGCTGACATGTGCACTAAGCTCTCTGGCTGCTGCAACTCCCCCACCACCCTCTTCCTCCCACCCCATAGACGGTGTCTCTGTACTGTCTGCAGAGACACCAGTCTCTCCCCAGCGTTCACAGCACCCCAAAGCCTCAAGGTGAGCTCTGGGGATACACCGATGTCACAGCAGCCGCCACACTGGGAGTGGGGGCAGCAAAGAGATACCCAATACACCAGAGCAAAGAGGTGAGTTTCTCCTGGGAAAGGTCAAGCCAACGTGCAGGTCCTTTCTCCAGGCTCGCTGGCCCCTCTCCAGGAAGTCAGCTGTGCCCAGGCCTTATTAATTGGATGTGAGCACCACATGGCTGCCTGCTGTTATGGGTTTCTGCAGCTTGAAGAGAGAGGGAGGGAGAGGGAGAGAGAGAGACAGAGAGAGAAAGAGACAGAGACAGGGGGTGGGGCAGGCAAACAGAATGAGAGACAAGGCAAGCCTAGAGAGACAGAGATGCCAGAGAGTGAGCACACAACAGCAACTAACTGACCAAGAAGCAGCAACAGATAACTCTGAGCCTCAGTCTAAGGCAGGGAGGCAGGCTGGGCCTCTGAGCCTCCAACACTCAGCAGTGGTTCCAGTGGCTGCCCAGCTCTGCTTCCTGAATCCGCAGTTGGCTGTTCTTGGAGAGTGTGGCTCAAGAGAGGCAGCTGAGAAAGCCCTGCTAGCGCTCTCTGCAGCTGCTGAATTAAGAATCCAGACCTGGCTGGTTTTATGTTGCCTTAATTAAGATACTCTTCAGGTTCACAAAGACCAAAGTTGGGCAACCAAGTCTCCTCCCAGGTGGCAACAGCAGGGGATCCCAGGCTGGGCCCTTGCCCGGAGCCAAAGCTCCCAGAGGAGGCACCTCCAGGTTTCTAGAATCAAGAGTCAGCATCATTCCAGCCTCTGGCTAATTGGTGTTCTGGCTGCTCCAAGGGCTCCAGACAAAGCTGCTCCAGCCCACCCACTCCTCATCGCCCCCACCCTAGGCTTTAGCCAAATGACCTTTCATTCCATGGAGGGCTGACCCAGGCCATTTCTGGCCTTGCATCATGCTGAGCCCTCTGCCTGCACTGTCAGTGCCCCCATCTCTGATCCTCCTCACCAGCCCTCAGGTTTCAATTTAACAGTCACTTTCCGCAGGACACCCTTCCTGAGGTCTCAGAAATTCTGGTTCAGGGACACACAGCATCCCCATCTGCCCAGAACAGTCTGGCACATCTTCTTAGGCTCACTGCCATGAGGATGGAAGACATGTGGGAGGCGGCGGGGGTCAAATGGCCAGAAGCAACGTAGGGGGAGGCACGACACGTCCAAGCACTCACCTTTTCAGTGACCAGGTCATAAAGCAGAGTGACCACACGCACAGCCAGCACCTCTGTGCCCTTTGCCTGTACCAGACTCCTCAGGACCTGCAGCCCCCCGAGTTTCAGGAACTGCTGCTGGGCGTAGGGGAAGTGTCGCAGGAGGGAGCACAGCGCAAACAGGACCTGCAGAGAGTGAGGAGCCATGCAGAGCTGGCCCTGCCCTAAGGCCCGGCAGAGGCAGCCAGAGATGCACCAACTACCCCACCCCGACCTCCATTCTTCCTGGTCCACCCACCACCCACAAGGGCAGCTACACCCCAAAACACAGGTCTGTGAAAGCCAGAAGAGAGGCCAGGCCAGGAAGCCTTTAACATCACCCAGTGGACAAACAGAGGGCAAAGACTGAAGCCAGAGGGTGGCACCTGAAACTAATCACAGGAGCTGAACCTAGGCTTCCAGACGGCTTGGCAGCCTGCCATGCTGCTTTGGGTGAGTGGGACCTCTCCCCCTATGCCACCCAGTGAATGACCACTCAGGTCCCAAGGGTGACATGTAGAGCTTGGAAAGAGACCCATGCCTTTCAGGCTCCACAGGTGTGCTGGGGGCTGAGCAGAAGGAACAGAGCAGAAACACACCTTCTTCTTTGCAGTGAGAGGCTGCTCCGTAGCCAGGATGACCAGCAGCTTCTGGAGGGCTCCCCCCTCGATGGCCTCTACTTGGACCTTTGGATTGCTGAGGGGAAAGCATAGGACAGCATGACATTGCATCTACTCACCAAGTTGGGGGAACTCCACTGTTGTCCCCAGGGATCTGGGTGGTTAGGGAGATGCTAACATATAGCCATACCCTGGGGGAAGAAAGGTGCACAAGGGAGTGTTCCCCCTTGGGACAAGCTAGAACTCAGCTGAGGAAACAGGCAAAATGCTAAACATCCACCCGGTACAAAGGCCTATGACGAAAATTGCTGGGAGCCGCACTGGCCTCCCCATTCATCTTTCCTCTCCTGGATGGAGCACACAGACCACATGTAGTCAATGCTTGTGGGATGAAGACATGGAGAATGAATGAGATCCAAGGAGCCTCTTACCTGAGTATATCCTAAAACAGGGCCAACCTAGATGCCTCCCCACTGTGAGAGCAGCTACTGTAACTGTACAGTTACAGTACCCCTCAGTATAGAGCCTATGTCACGGGGCCCAGGAAAATAGGGCAAGAATGAATAAATACATGTGCACAACCAAGACTGTATCAACCAACACAAAGGAACACTAAAACACTCTCCCTGTTCTGGGCTGGAGAAAGAGTGATGAGGTTCAAACATTCGGGCACTGAAGGATAGGAGCCTGGCTGTTGAGACCTCCATAGGGCAGGGTGCCAGGCAGGGGATAATGTCTGGGAACCTCTTGCTTTCTAAGATTAAATTAGTGATCAATTAGGGAATAATGCCAAACACAGGGACCTGTGTAGTTAGGCCCTCAGGGACCTGTGTAGTCAAAGGCTCCCTCACCAACCACTTAGGAGGCCTCAGAGAAGAAAGGTGGCAGGCTCCTAAAAAGCTCAAAACCAGCAGGAGGGGGAGAGGCCAGGCCAGAGGTCACAGAGTGGCTCTCGTGCTCACCCAGACAGCCCACAAAGGGCACCAAGTCTCTTCTCAGCTCTGGCTCCTTCACTTTAGCGTGGCCATCAGCTCCTTGGAGACCCCAAAAGCATCTGTTCCTCCTAACCCCCAACTTCAGCAAGGGGCCTTCATGGCATCTTGCAGAATGAGGCAGGGTCTGAAACCCAGAGGAAATGGGAGGAATTTAACAAGACAGCTCACACTGCTGCTTGCAGGAAGAGGGTCTGCCACACAGCAGGTGCTCTGTCAAAGGTGGCCCAGAGGCATGGTAATGGGGCCCAAGCAAGGCCTCAGTGGCCCACCCTCCATTGCTACCAGGCACTAGCTTCAAGTTTCAAAGACAACTTAGCAAGCTGAGCCAGTTTTCTGGCTGTAAATGGGAGGAGGTGCCTGAGTCCCTCTGCATCTTCTCATCCAGAAAGGATGTACAGGGTGGGTGCTAGCCTGTCCCACTGCAACTCCATTGGTGGGTCTGAGGAGCAGCCTGGAGATGGGCCAGGGTCTCTGGGGAAAGGAAGCTGACAGCTCCTCTCCAGACAGGCAGGTGGGCACCAATGCACAGGGACCCTGGGAGCTGAGCCTCTCCCCTGCCCTCTGCTCCCCCAACTTGAGAAAAGCAGCTGCTTCATGAAAGCATGAGCTAATTAGGACTGTCTTTGCCATCATGTGCCTGAGGAACACTCACCCGCAACAGGCAGGGTCTTTTCTCGGAAAAGACGACTACACTGAGAAATTCACGCAAACATCAAATACTGCCTCCAAAGGAAGCAGGGGCTGTGAGACCCAACATCACATCAGCCTCAGAGGGTGCATCAGGGGGAGCACACTGAGCAATGGGGACAAGGCCCTCCAAAGAAAGCACATGGGGCTTGGTCCTGGTCTACAGATCTGCTGAGAACAAGACTCAGAGATGAGATAATTCCCTGGCCAACTCCAGAAGACAAGGGGGGCAGTCTAAGGAGACTCACTTGAGCATGCGGAGTACAGGAACCCACCTGGGCACCAGCAGGAGTAACAGCCCTGTCACGAACACGAAGCAGTGTTGGGGGAAAGGGGAACTGTGCTCACCCAGGTCTGAATCGTTAGAAGGGGAGAGAAGTACCAGGGTAAAAAGTGGAGGGCTCATGCCATGTAGGCAGATCCCTGGGATCCTCCAAATGGAACAACAGCTGGCTGACTAGGAGCAAAGATGCCAGAAGCCCGTAAGAGATAGGGATCTCCTGGTACTCCATGTCCACAGGAGCCCCGATGTAAGGTGCAGAGGGCCAGACTGCACCCTGTCACAGGAAAGATGCAGGGGCCAGCCATTGCTAGCCAGTTGCACAGAGAAGCCCCAAATGCAGGGCAGGTCTTTGGGGGAAGCTCAGCCTGATCTCTGCCACCGAACAAGCTAGGATCCACACATATGAGGCCACACCACCAGACCTCAAAGAATGAATAAATGACCAAGTAGCACTGGGGGATTAGAGAAAGAACAGGAAGGTCTGGGCTGGGAGAGCCAGGAGAGCTGCACTGGAGAAGAGGCACTGCAGGAGGCTGAAGTTCAGGTGAAGGATCGCTGTGGACAGGAGGAAGGGCAAGTGCTCAGGGAACACGAGGAGTGTATGTGGAGAGGCGACACCATTCGGTGGAAAGCTGCCCTGAGAAGTCATGGAAAATGGGGCCAAGAGGTGCAGCTGACAAGGAGCACCAGTGCAAGTCAGGAGGCCATGCTGCCTGTAGTGCCAAGGAGACCCGCTGGCTGGGTCGGAGGAGGGGCAATGCAGGACCCAGAACCTGCCTAGCAAGCAGAGCCTGCTCCTGCTTCTGCTTCCTCAGCAAATACTGCACCCAAGGTAAGAGTTAGTAACAAGCTCCTTCCAGGCACACAGACACCAGAAAGGGCACTGGCCCTGGGGACAAGAGCTGAGATGGGACAACACTGTAAGCCAGGTACGGTTTACCGCTCCCAGGTCAGGTTGGCTCTGGGTATGTAGCGTGTGCCTCTATCATGAGCAGCATCACTTCTTTCCCACCCCTCAGTACAGTCACTGTTCACTCTCCTTTCCTCTGAGACACTGCTGCCTCGCTCACTCCTTACAGTCCCAATGGGGAGGGTCTCAACCCCCTAGACCCCAAAGAAGGGCTTGTGGATCGAGTACGGGTCCATGATCCATCAGAGCCTGCCATCACCATGGCTTCTGTGGGTCACCCAGGACTGGACAATCAGAGCCCTCAGTCTACACTAGAGTGAGGACAAAAAGGGGAAGTTTCCTTCTCCGTAAGATAGGCTGCTATAAACCAGGAGCACCTACGGTCATGATGATAGCAGGCGGGTCCCATCCCACCCCCATGGAGAGAAGCCCATCAGGGGAGGACAGGATAGAGCTCACACAGAAATAAACCATAGGGAAAAAAAGCCTGATGTCTTTGTCACTTGATGAAATCACTCTCATAAGGCCATAAACCTACTTTTTCACCTGCAACAGAATCCTGAAGAACCTGGGTAAGTAGAGCAGGACCATGGGCTAAGAATGGGCCTGTGGCTGAGGGTGGCCTCCATAGGGCTGGGCCTCTTCTCCTGACCAACTTAAATGAAGGAGCCCATGCTAACTCTGGGCCCTACCCCAGACTTCAGTGGTGCCGTAGACACTTCAGGGGGTCCATATAATACCCTCAGAAAACAGCTTTTTAGTAATGTCCAGTAGAGGAGCCAAGGAACACAGGAGAGTGAAGGTGGGGAATATAAAGTCTGTGTTTCCAAAGACACTCTGTCTATCCAGGCTGGGGCAGGAGACCTGGGCAAGACAGTTTCTTGAGCAATCTACTTTGGAGAAGCAGAGACCAGCATGCTCTCAGAACCTCTCTCTCCCCCAGCAGCTCAGCCTTGGGCTCTGAATGTTCATTACTATGTGCTCTGGGACATGAAATGCCCCCAAAATAGCTGAGTGAGGTTAGGGGATGTGCCAGGACCAGGACCTGGAGAGCCCTTGGTGGGAAGCCTGTGAACAATGGCCCATGACCTTGGCCAAGTCCTTTCATTTCAGTTTCCTCACCTATGAGGCAGAGCTAAAAACTACCTGTGTTAAAGGTACAATAGGTAATGAAAGCCAATACACTAGCCAATGCAGTATGACTACAAGAGTAAATTACACTGGGTTTGCTGCAAAGAGAGCTCAGACCATGCCCTCAAGAACACAGATGGCCGGGGCACGTATATGCCGGCCTCATCTCTTAGCATATAGATTTAGGACTAGAGCTGTGGCTCATGCAGGGGATGAGGAGGCAAGGTGGTTCTTGCTGGATGGAAGGTATGTGTCCTGACAGTTATAGATTTGACTGAGTTAAAAGGGCAGGGGCCTGGCATGCCTCTCAGTGACATAGTGACGCTGGTGAGCTCAAAGTCAACAGAAGGATATTAAGGACGTAGCTCGTCTCTGATGAGATAAATGAGACTAAACCTTGTTCAGAGCTAAACTGGCTGGACTGAATAAATACCATTAGCACTTGGATTACTGGGATGTTCACAATCAGCAGGCAAGTCAGCTGTCTGTGTGCAGAGGGATGGCAGCAGCTGCTACTTTGTAAATCTTGGGTGGGGCTGGGGGGAGATCACAGGAAGGAAATGATTGCATTTGCAGAAACCAAACAGTTTGGGTCAGGGCGACTGCTACAGGCAATCTGCCAAGGGTCAGAGATCATATTTTAGCTAACTAAAGCGGAGCAAGTGTTGGGGGTGGGAGCAGCGGGGGGAAGGTGGTAGAGCTGATCCAGGGATGTATCGCCAAGTCCGGCCATTGGGCCCATGAGACCATTGCGCACCTCAGGTCCGGAAGCTGCCCTTCTCCCTCTCTGGCACTCAGGACTCACTATATAATTTTCAGGGCCAGTGCAGAATGGAAATGTGAGGGCCTTGTTCAAAAATTATTAGAAACTTGGGGTGCTTGAGTGGCCTAGTCTGTTGAGCATCTGACTTGATTTTGGATCAGGTGATGATCTCACAGTTTATGAGTTGAAGCTCCACACTGGGCTCTGCACTGATAGTGTGGCACCTGGTTGGGATTTTCTCTTTCTGTCTCTCTGCCCTTCTTCCACATGCTCGCACTCTCATCAGGGGTGTGTGCATTGAAACAGA